GAGAGGCTGCCTTGGCTGTTGCCTCTGCAGCTGCCTGGCCGCTTGCAGCAGCTGCAGACAGAGGTGTGAGCAACGTGGTGCAGCCCGCAGCGCTGCCCAAGCCCAGTCGGGCAGCTGCCTTGCTACCTTCGAGATTTAGAAGATAAGTGGTGCTTTATTTTTTGTCCTTTAAGGTGCCACTTACCTTTCTTAGGCAGCTGATTACATATTAGGGATGGCAAGAGAGTAGGGTGTTTTTTTTGTCTTTCGTCTGTGATTTAGTGTCACTCTCAAACCATCGGATTCAGCCACCTGAAACCCTCACTCATCTCACCAGGACTGAGGAGAAAAGTGCTTTTGTTTTTGATTTATTCTAAAAATATGTATTTTTTTATTATGGAACACAAATTTACCATAATGGCTTTCAGATCCCTAAGGAGAAGCTTTTCCAGGCTGATTCACACTTTGATAATGTAATACAATACAATTTCCCTTGTGGGCTCAAAGCGTAGGCCTCAGAGGCTCGGCTTTCAGAGCCTGTGTGGAGGGAGCGAGGTGGCCTACAGAGGGGATGGGTGGAAGGTGCCGAGCGGGACACCGGACCCGGCCTCCTCATGACGGCTGGAAATTGGTCCCTGCATCCGTGGCACCAGCTCCTTCTGTGTTCAGGGACATCAGCTCCAGTGTTCCCCAGGTGTGGTTTGATGTAGCTTCATCTTTGCAAAAATGTTCAAAACCTGGCGCGTTTTCTTTGCATTGCATGAAGGGCGCAGCGGCACGGAGCAGTCGCCAGGCTCGTCTCTGAGGACTGCCCTGCACACGCTAATGCAAGAAGGGAGTTGGATTCTGCCTGGAGAGGGGTGGGATCCCAAGGCCCAAAGCTTGGCCAGCTGGAGCAGCCACGCTGGGAGACCATCCCACCGCAGACCGCGCCGGCCTCCCTTGGTCCGGCTGGACACCCCCCTGCCTTCCCAAGCAGAAGAGCTTTCCAGAAGAGTCAACATGCTCTGCTTTCCATGGGTTACTACAAAGGAGGCCTAAAAGGCTGGCTAAGCTTCAGGATATTCCAGGATATGCTGTACACTTCTCACTTATATCATTTAAGCGTTTTAGAAGCTTAAAAGGAGGGTAAGGGCAACTCCATCCCCAGTGCAGCTGGGCATTTTTTGAGCCATTTCTAGATATAGACTATGATTTTATCTGTGGTTTCTGCTGTAAGTTTGCAGTCATGAATGATCTCTAAATAGATGCTTAAACTGTGCAGGCTGAGGGCATGTTCTAAACCCTGCAAAGTCACCGCAGTGTTGATCTTTCTTATACCAGACATTTTTACTAGAGCCTCTGTAAACTCTCCCTCATATAAGCATGTTTTCAAGAGTGTATGTGGGAAAACAGACAATAAAAGAACCTGAATATATGTTAAAATCTCATTTCTACTGAGTAAAGAAAGTACAAAACTTGAGACTGTTGTTAGAATAAATCAGTCTAGAAAAATAGAAGCTTTCCTGAAACTGAACCCAAACAGGGATTCACTTATTGCAGTTCAAGTTATCCGGATTTCTTTTTTTTATTTTGTAATTTAAACTCTTCCAAGGTGTTCTCTTTCTGCAAGTATATGACGATACTTGGAAGGAGTGAGATCCAGACATCCTCCTAGGCTCCAGAAAAGCTTCCGCCATGGGCAGCCCTGCAGGCAGCCCGGGGAGCTGCCCCCTTCCTTTGCCAGGCAATTTCCACCTGTCTTGATGCTCAGTGCACCTGGGTGTATCTCCAATTTCTTCCCTGTAGCTGCCGGAGGCATCAGTGCCTATCCCAAAGCAGAGGTGCTCTGAATGGAGCCCTCCGGAGCAGAGCACGTGGCTCCTACGTGCAGCTGGCGGCTGTGGGAGTTCCCGAGGGCTGCGGTTAATCTGAGCCGCCCCAAAGTAAGCTGCTACTGCAGCGCTTGCACTTGCTGGGTTTGAGCAGATAGTCAGTGATTAGAGAAGTTACAGAAGCCACTGGAGAAGTCACCATTTCCCAGCAGCTGCCATATCCCAGTATGAGAGATACCCCTGTGATTTCCTATTCCCTGGGCAGGAAATGCTGGCACATCAGCCACAATCCTGCGGTGCTTCCCTGGAGCGAGAGCAGGACATAAATGCAGTGTGGTAGCTGCTGGTAAGTGCTACCTTTGAAATCAGATACACAGAAATCAAATGCTGTTTGCAGTCTATGCAGCAAATCACTGCCATTAAAAAGGAAGGAATTCAAGGAGAGGTGGAAGGTTAATAAGCTTAATTTGCCTTTTAAGCACCGCAGTCTTCAGAATTAGCTTGCAGGAAGGGGCTGTGGCCCACACAGCGCTTCCCGAAGGCTGCTCCCTGGCACTGGAGGCAGGAGCAGGGCAGGAAGGGCACCACGAGCAGTCAGGTTTACACTCCGTCTCTCTGGGTCGAGTATTTCGCTACAAAGCAGTGTTAATCACAGTGCCAGAGCTGGAACACCTTGTGCTTCGAGACGTTGTGTGGAGTGAAGGTTTCCATGGCTGCAGAGGCTGCCACGTGAATCTGCTCCTGGGGCAGAGCCGTTCCAGCCTCTGCAGCGGCGCCGGGCCGGCCCCAAGAGCTTTTCCAAACTGAGAGATGCCTGGTGGTTAAGAGGGGCCTGAGATAACACAGAGCTGTTTGCTCTCACGTTTTGCACCCAGGACCTGGCCCCAGCCCCAGAAAAATCAACTAATCCCTCCAGTAATTTCAAGGCGCCCAGGAGTTCCAGGGCTAAGTAAGTGGAAGCAGAAACTACGTAGGAGATCACAGAGGGGAGGCCTCTGCACAACCCTGCTGGGGAAGCGCTCTGCAAAGCTGAGCTTGCTCTGTGCTGAGACTGCCCGTGATCTGGTCCTTTTTCAAAATACCATATTTTATTAGAAAACCACAGTATTCCAGCACTGAATGAGGGAGGAAAAGAGAGGTGGAGGAAGAAGAGAGCATTGTGCAAAGGCCATGCAATGATTAGGGTGAGAAGAAGTGAAGAAGGTGAAAACACCGGGCTTGGCTGTTCTCGCTGAGAAGCTGGGCTCAGCTGTACCCATCACGTGCTGCTTTTGGCTCCTGCACAGTGCAGGTCACGTCTGCCTCGTCTGCGCAGTGAGTCCAGCCTGTTCCTGCTGCACATGCAAATCAGTAGCAGCTACCGCAGCGGTGACGGCTACGGAGCAGGACTCCTGTCTCCAGGAGGATATCGGGGCGCTTCCCAAACGGCTGCTGCCTCCCTGCAGCCTGTCCAGATTGTGCTGGGGAAACCTGAGGAAAGGCTGCTCTGGAAGCCCCGTGTTCTGCTTATAGAAATACTGAAGTTCTGAATAAGAATAGCTTGACATCCTGCTATAGTATAAACTATTATAATACAAAAAGATATTTTGGAACAAGAATGGTGGCTTATTCTCCAGGAGAAATACACAAAGCAGTATCTTGAGCTTTCTTGTGTGAAAATCAGGCAAATAAAAATGTGGTGTTTCATGCATCTTCAATCCCACCTTCCAGGCCAGCTGGCAGCCCTGGAGTTTGCAGATTGTAGTTGCTTCTTTAATTGTTTTCCAATTATTCATTTTAAGATTTTTAAACATAATCCCAGGCCATTCAATTAACATCACTTCACAGTGCACACACTCTGCCATCCATCTGCTCAAGTTGTCTTTAAATGACACCGTCTTGTATCTGGTGTTCATAACTATCAAACATACCTCCAACATAATCCACCTTCTGTTCCCAGCTAGAAAACAGATTTCACCATTTTTTATTCTAACACCTGTGCAGCTTTCAACATTTTTCCACTGGAGATTTGTCACTGGTGAATGTACATGTTGGGAACTGAAGTTTCTTTAATGGATTTGCAGAGTGATATATTTTAAGGCCAGAAGGGATTATTGTCCATGCTGGCCTCTCATATAATACAGACCATAAAATTTTGCTGCTCTAGTTCCTGATTCTGGTTCAATAACAATACTTGAAGCAACATCTACCTGTTAAAAGAGAATTTTCTATCTGTTTAACATTTCCAGTGGTAATAAATTTGCTCACTTATCTTGGGTATTATATACTCTCACTGATACAGATTTGTACCCTATTTCTCACTGTGAATATGTTGAATTTTGACTGCAAACCATTTATTCTTTTTAGAATGAAAACCCTTCCCATGCGCATGCTGGGTTTCGTGTAGATTCTTAAGACTGAGCTTGTCACATCTAAATCTTTTCTGTGACTAAGTAAATAGGCTTACATCCTTATTTTTCCCCATATAGCCTGTTTCTAGCCACTGGCTATTCCTGTAGCTGTAAATTCTAAGTAATTGATCGGCATTTTTTTTTTTTTTTTTTTTTTTAAATCTAAAATGTGACTACAGAAAGAAGAGAGAGCACTTGGCACTGCGTGCATCGCTTGTGAATATAAAATAATAGAGCCTGCCTAGGCTGACCTTAATCTCAGGAGAAGGAGCAGGCAATCATTCCCCATTCACCTCCCTCGCCCCGCGCTGTGATTTTATTATCGTTTATTGTGCGCCCGGCAGCTCCACGGCAGGGACATGCCGGGGCTCTCCGGGCCCGCTGGAGCCGTGCCCGTCACTTCTGTCTCCAGCGCACCAGCAATGGGGGAGCCGGGGGGGGGTTTATCAGGTGGGCAGCTCAGAAGGACTCGGGAACAAGTTGTTTTCCACACTGCAGGATCCAAGTGTAGAACCCCTTGCTAGGGTGTTGTAGAGCCCAAACTTCACAGATGCTCATGAAGCAGATAGATAAATCCACCCAGGTCCATTAAACACCCTGCAGCAGAGGTCAGCACCTCCGTGCTGCAGGTTAACTGAACTGCGGGGCCTTGCTGGGGAACAAGCAGCACCTGTGTCTCGTTAGGAACGAGCAGCACTGGTGCCTCAGTCCTTAGTTGACCTGCCTGGAGGGGCAGGAGCTCCCATAGGAGCTCCTGGGTTTTATGGGCCTTGCAGAGTGTTCCCAACATGGGGGCTTTGGTTAGGCAGTCTCTGTAGGTCTAGCTCTGTGCTTCTGTGTGCCTGGGAAGGTAGTGGCACTGCAGCTGTGTGGAAGATCTGTGGAGTTTTCAGCTTCCATTTCATGAGGATTCGTTGATTGCTGAGACTCCCTCCGGCCTTGGGAGCGCTGTCCCTGTGGACACCCTACAAAAGGTATGTGAGACTTGTCCTAATTTGTGCCTTGTAGCCTCTTCATGGATGATAGTGTTTCTTTTCTTTCTCTTGTTGTTGTTGCTGTAGTTGGGCTTGGGGAGGTGTGATGAAGGAGATATGTTACAGTGTGGCTGACTTTTATGTTTTCCCCTGGAAGCAGATGGGGTCTCTCATTTCTTTATGTGTTTGATGTGGCTTGTGATCAGCGTTTTTACAACCCTTCTATGCGTGGTTATGGTCATGTTGTGGTCTTGGTGTGCTAATAATACCACAGACCATACCTCTGTATCTGGGGTTTCTCTTCATTATGGAGCTCCCTTAGCTCCAGGGAGAAGGGAAGGCTCCCTGTAAGGGAAGCAAGTGTATTCCTGTGTTACTGTTCTTCCTGGCAGTGGTGTTCAAAACAGTTCTACTGAGCCCAAGCCCGTTTTAAATGTTTTTGTAAGGGATGTGAGAAAAATGTAGACAAAATGGACTGAAATGTCAGGAAGAGGAATTCCATCGTATTTTATTGCTTAGAGATTAAAATACTAACTTTTATGTTAATCCAGTAAACCCTTTTTGCTTTCTGTCTTTTTGCTTTATAGAAGCTTCTGCTTCTTGCCCTGGGTATTGCAGATGTCTCCTAAACACACAGGTCTAGGATTTGGAGGATTAGTTTTAAAATAACCTGAAGTCATTTTTCTGTTTTGAGGTTTACCTCAGTGCCTTAGGAATAGCACAATTATTGTTTGACCTTACAGTTGACTATGGGCCTAGAAGCATCAGCAAATGACACGAAATAGCCCAAGTAAGCTGAGCTGAAGAGCTTTCATGCAAAGCTGTGGTGAAGGGTCAGCAGTGGCAGGAGCTGATGGCGACAGAGTATTAAGATCTCCACAGGTCTCAATAGACAAGTACAGATCTTGCTGTTTGCCCCACTGCTTAAGAGGCTTTTGATTGCTGCAAATAACCTAATGCTGCTCTCTCAATGGGATCAATAGTCTGTCTTATTTTAGTCAACAGAAATGCTCTGCTTTTTTATCTTTTGGGGGGAGTTTTTGAAAGTATTTGTGGTTATCTGGGAGCACTAAATGCTCCTTCCAGTGTATGCCATGTGTTGGGTTTGTCTGTAGCTGCCAGATGCAACTGCATCCCTTGGTGTGATCATTGTCCTGCTTTCTGCTTGGATAATTGCTAGTTAATAGGGATTTTTTTCCTAGGGAACCTGGGCACATTAGTTTGGGGGTAAAGATCTGCAAGTCAGGTTGCAGAATGACTTAGGAGAAGAAAATCTCTATTGGCATGAAACTTTCTAAGTATATAAGTAGGAAGAAAGCTTAACTCAGATTGTGCCAGGACTGCATGTTGGCTTTTTCTTACTTTTATTTATTTGTTTTCATACTTGTCTAAGCCTTGGCATTCAAACTCTTTGAAGATGTTTGCTTACAAGTGCTTTAGTTGCTGTACTGAGAAGCAATATCAGTGTGACATGGGCGCATACTCTCATGTGAAGAACGGGAGATGTCAATTAATACACACCCTGGCCTCATTTCTTGTGGTTTACTCCTTCTGGAACATGTTCCCTTTCATTTCCTCTTGGGCTTGTTCATGTGTAGTCTGCTTGAAAGTATCAGCTTGGTTCTGCCATAATGATAAAAAAGGATGGGGAGTAAAGGGACTTCATTTTCTCAGGCTGGTGCCTGCACCCTTCTTGCCTTGTCACACCGAGTGCCAGTGCTGTCCTCCTGCGCTGCACCCTGGGGACGAGGTGTGACAGGGGTCGGTGCCCCTCTTAGAGAGGGGATCATTATTTCAGTTTCTTCCTACTCTTCTCACACACAAGTTCTGTTGTGGGAGCTGTTATGTACAATTTAACATAGCTGTTTTCTCTGTGTTTCTAACCCATTTTGTCATGGTGCTCCCTAGCCTTTGCTTTTCCCTGTCCTCTAATGCTCCCTTCTCAGACCATCAAGGAAACATTTCATTTATGTTATCTCACATAAGCTATTGCCTAATCTCAATTTCCCTCTCCCTAACTTGCATTTCACTTGAGTAGCTTGTTGCATCATATTTGCAAATCCCTGGCTAATGCTTTCTGCGCTTTTGAGGCTTTATCTCTTGGTCTCAGAAAGGAATTAATAATTCTTTTGGCAACTTCATCCATTTAGCCTTTCACCCGAATTTCTTCCTAGATTCATTTATACAGGCCTAAAGCCTCCTGGAATTGAGTTGCATATCATGACTCTAAACTCATTTTTGCCTTCCTTGACCTCTCTTAAGTAGCCCCAAGGGTACAGGCTATTACTTGCAGCACTTGTTTGCTCACCCAGCAAATCCCAAGTTTTAAAAATAAATCCAGTGTTATCACTATTTAAAAATCTCATGCATTTTATAGGAGCACCACTTTTTAAAATCAGAGAACCTTTGAGACCCATGTAAATACAGTGTTTTGAGTATTGCAGCTTATCAAATTCTATCAAAAGTGCTGCTTTTAAAGTGCTGAATGAGTGTTTTAGATTCCTAAGAGTTCCTCTATCTTGATTATTTTCAAAGGAAGCTGAGCACTAGGATCTCTGGGGGTGATACTCTTGAGTGTGTTAATTATGCCTTTTTGACATAAAAATGCTAGTTTTAAGCTGTGTGTCTATTTTGACTATGGAACTTTGTTTAGATTTTATTTTAAGGGCTAGAGGAAATGAGTCAATTCTAGTAAAGCTAAATCAGTTCTCCATGTGTCATCAAACTTTCCATTAATTTTTTTTAGACAGTCTGAGGAAAGATTATGGGGGAGTTGCGTGGATGAGGAGACTTACATAAATAGAATTTTGTTTCTTGGTAGTTTCTTTACTGATAAACAGTGGTAAGTACCTTCTCCGGCCTCCTGCCAAGTTCATCTGCTGTATAATTAAAGCAGGTCAGAAAGGCTAGACTTTTCTCTGCAAGCTTTTCCATTGCTGATAAGTCTTGACAATACCAAGCTTTAGTTCTCACTTTCCAAGTGAGTTCTTGCAAAAGGAAACCTATCAGTTTTTCAGGATATGTGTCCAGTCCCAGATACAGTGCTTTTAAATACGATTCTGTGTTTGTCAGGGTAATTACAGATACTGAAAGAAACTCAATTTGCAATTATAAAATGATCTTTGTTTCTTTTAAGCCCAGTCAAGTTAGTCTTTTTAGCACCCCTTGAAGTAACTCATAGATATCTAACAGTTTTATTTCTGTGCTAAAACCAGCAGATTCTTGGTGTCTCTGTAGTCATTCCACGTTTGTCCAGAAAGATGAAAAGCTGGTTTTGGAATCCAGTTGTCCCCATGGTTCCTCCTTAATGTGAAAGGGGGAGATCAAAGACAGAATGATCTAATCCAGGTGAGTGGGAGGAGAGCGGGAGCGTGGCGAGCGTGCGGCTCAACACGGCCCTGGTGCAGGGTGTCCCAAGCCCAGGGAAAGGCTGAGCCTGATGGCTCCATGCAGAGCTTGCCCGTGGCCAGGGATGGGGACAATGTATTATAACTAATGATGGCAGTGATGAGAAAAAGGTGGTGGTTTTACCAAGTGTAATGAGGGCTAAAACCTATAGCTTGCTGTGGAGCTTAATGGCTGGTATTAAATCAGCAGACAAAACACTTGCTGAGGCTGTGGAAAGTCGACAAAATTACCTTTCTGGTAGCTGCAGAATGTGTCTGCTTTCATAAAAAGGATCAAAAGAGGAAAATGAGGTAATTCTTGAATTTGTCGGTTCAGGGGGAGTTTAAAGGATGTGTTAAGAGACTGGATAGTGTATTATATGCAAAAATGAAACAGTCCAAAAGTGGTTATTGACTGTAGTAATTGATCCAAACAGTGCATAGGAAAATAGTAGGGCAGCAGCAGAAGCTGAAACAATCCTAGCAATCCGTGTCACACTGAGCTGGTGTCTGAGAAATAAAACAGATAAATAAAGCAGCTTGCCTGTCAATGCCTTCCCATGTAAACAGGTAGCGAGTTGAAACTGGATCCAGAAGTAACCAAGAGGAATTGGGACATGCACAAAATGTGCTGCAAGCCTCTGCAAAACCTATTATCCTTTATGGGACCACTTCAAAATGTTCTCGGAGCGATGAGCCTGCAGCTGACAATGCCTGTGGTCTATTGTAAAAGCGCTGGTATCTCTATAGCTCTTTAAGTTAGGATACAATAACCAAAATGTTATTGGATTTTGTTACAAGTGGCAAGGAGCAGTATATGAAGTGTATTTTTGATAGAATTATCAAGAGAACAGAAGTAAAGTAGCAGCAGAATTTGATGTCTTAAATGTGCAGGAAAAAGTGTATCCCCTAAGCATTTCCACAGTGGAGTTGGAGGTAATGTGCAGCTATAAACAGTGCCTTCTTCTCTAGTAAGTTGTGAAGGCAGGAGGTAATTTATGATTTAGGAGATGGTAGGTGAGAATGTAATTGGGATGGGTTGCTGGAGCTTAACACTTCTCCAGGTTTTCTGGTGGGGAGGTGGCACAAATAATCCACAGTAGCTGTGAGCTGCTCTTGGACATGGCGACCTACAGGCTTCTACATAGAATTAGGGTTGTAGAATTGGTGCAGAATAAAACAGCTGTTCAAGAGTGACCAGCTGTGTGTTTTGGTTGACTTCAGTACCTGAACAGCTAAAGTTAGAGGCAGTTCTCGAGTCCTTCAAAGGAGCTGCTAATCTAATACTTGCACTTCGTCAACTTCTGACCAGACTAGTGGATGCCCTTGTTGCATGAGTGGTGGGAAGTGCTTCTCCCCAGGCAAGCTCCCTAGACAGGTATCCTATATGGATACATTCTATATGCAATGTGAGACCCAAGTCTGAAGCGAGATTGCTCTCTGAAGCCTTAGCTGTTGGTATTGAAATATGCCTGTGGACACCACCCATTTTGTTTGGTGGTGAACTACAAAATGGGTGTTTCAGGGCAATCCTGCCTTGATACTGTGTGGAAGTCGGTGGTAGAGGGTACCTTACAGTTCTGCTGAGAAGTTGTGGGTAACTTTAAAGAAGGA